GGTTTTTCTTTTTTTTGTCTTTCTTTGCTTTGGGGTTGGTTCGTGTATATTTTATTCTTTTCCCTGTACTCTTGTGAAGAACGTTGTTCTTTTTTCCTTTTCTTCTGTGTTTAGTACTTTCTTAAGTGTTTCATGTAGAGATGGTTTTGTGGCTGCATAAGTTCTTAGGGATTGGATATCTGGGAAAGATTTTAATTCTCCCTCACTGATGAAGCTTAGCTTGGCTGGGTAGGTTATTCTTGGTTGAATTGTTTATCCTTTAGGACTTTGAAGATAGGGCTCCAAGCTCTCCTAGCCTGCAGGGTTTCTGCAGATAAATCTGCTGCTATTCTGATTGGTCTTCCATGGTGGGTGATCTGGCCTTTTTCTCTTGCTGCCTTTAGGATTTTTTCTTTTGTGCCTACTTTATTTAGGCGAATTATTATGTGTCTAGGAGTTGGTCTTCTCATTTGTTGTCTTGTGGGGGTTCTCTGAATCTCTTGTGTTTGAATTTTTGTATCACTGATCAGATGAGGGAAATTTTCTTGAATGATCTCGTGGAAAGTTTGTTCCAATGTGGTCTCTGTTTCTCTTTCTGCCTCAGGGAGTCCGATTATTCTTAGGTTAGGCCTCTTGAGGTAGTCACTCATCTCTTGAAGGTTTTGTTCTGTCTTTTTTAGCTTATTTTCTGTGTTTTTAAGAGTTTGGGTTATTTCTATATTTTGGTCCTCAAGCTCTGAGATTCTTTCTTCTGCTTGGGTAATTCTGCTTTCCATGCTTATCAATTTGTTATTTATTTCATTCACAGTATTCTTTATTACTGTTATCTCAGATATCAGCTCCTTCCTAGTTTCTTCTTGTGTCTCCTCAATTCTTTTTAATCTCTCCATTATTGTTTTGATATCTACATTTGCATTTTGAGACCCTTCATTCTGGGGACTTTTCATTGTTTGTATTCCAAAGTCAATTTTCTCAGTGTCTGCTCTCCCAGGCGTCTGGGAGAGACCCATACTCTTCTTTTGGTTTTTCTTCATTTCTGTAGATTTTTCTCCCTTTACCCCTTTTCCTCCCCCTCTTCAATTCTGTTTTTGAGGGAAGGTGGGGTTGCTTTTATTTCTCTTCTGCAATGACCTGTTCTTCCTTATGAGGGTCTTCTGGTTTTGTTCACTTTTCCCTCTGCTTTACAGTCTGTCTATTCAGCAGTTTGCAGTCTTGGTCCGTTCAGAGAATCTCACCAGTTCACCTATGCCGTTGCCATCTTGCCCCGTCTCCTTCCTCTTTCTCGTTGAACACCGGGGGCTTGTGCGAGTGGTTCCCGCCAGTATTGCGTATTCCGCCACCACTGCGGTTGTTATATCACGCAGGTAATTTTAAAAAGTTTTTTTGCAGAGACAGAGTCTTGCTATGTTGTCCAGGCTGTGAATGCCAAAGTCAATTTAGAAGTTTATGCCAGCATTAAGGAAAAGAAGAAATAGAATATAAAATATCAGAGTGTATTGCATATATACAATACACATATATATGTACCATATAGTACATACATGTAAGTATATAAACATATATATTGGATACAATGAAAAATGTAATTAACACTCTGGGCTCCAATGCTTTGTTTCTATGGCAGAGTTTGGTGGCAAATGTCCTGCTGACCCTCTTCCATGTGAGGAACTGTGTGATGGTGATGAGTCCTGTCCCCAAGGGCATAAGTGCTGCAGCACTGGCTGTGGCCATACCTGCCGTGGAGACATTAAGGGAGGTATGTTGGCTCTTTTGGGAAGAAACCTGAGTGCTTCCTGAGTCCCAGAGTCTACTTGGAAGGGAGTCATCATGGCTGCCTTCTCTTTCCCTTCCTGCGAGTAGCCAGAATTCTCATCCTTCCTGTCTCCCTAGTCCCCCAACCCAAAGCAACTCCTCCTTATAGGGCCAAAGAGTGTAGGCATTAAAAGAACCAGGGGAAAGGCAGTGTGAGGTAGTAGGAAAAACTCCTAGGCTGGAAGACAGGCAGGGTGGCTTCTGGTCTTGATTTTGTTAAGGATTTGCTGTGACCGTGGGTTAACAAATCCCTCTTTTTGAAGTGAAGCTTCTTTATCTGTAAAACTGCCCAGGATCACTGGTTTTCAGACTTAATTTTTACCATAAAGTTTCTCCCCTGCCCCAAATTAAACATTAGTTGGAACCACCCCCCACACAAATTGAAGCATTTGTTTCAATTCCTTTGTTTTTTAGATATTTTTAAAAAAGAAAAACAAATAGATATTTTTGAGTGCTCCTTTTGTGCCAGGTAATGCTCAAGGTGCTGGAGACAGACTCTTAACCTTATGTAGCTTATAGCCTATCAGGGAATATAGATAATTAAATAAGGAATTATAATAAAGTTTGATGAGAGAAGGCATACAGGGTGCTACAGGAGCACAAAGCAAGGCATCAGATCTCGTCCAGGGTTACAGAGAAGGCCTCCCTGAGAAAATGACACTATGAAGCCCAAGCATGGGGGAGAGTGTGGTGGTCTAGGAACCTTGCTCCTTCTGTACTTCACCCAGCCCTGTCCCCAAATCTGCAGAGTTATCAACCCCTGAGTTACCTCAAGGGAACTGCCTTTGGGGCACTCTTTGAAAACTCTTGCCTCAGAGGACTTTTGAGTCCCTACAGATTCTCAGATCCTCTATCTTCATGGTTTCCCAGTTTGGCTAAGGTCTAGTTAGAGTCAGGGGTTGATTCACCTGGGGCCTCCATGTCTAAGTCCTAGATGGGAACTTGGAGACAGTGGAGCTGACAGACATCCTGTCCCTTTACCTGTGTCTGTTTTGCCTGCAGGGCAGGGCGGTGACTGTCCAAAAGTTCTGGTGGGCCTGTGCATTGTCACCTGCATGATGGATGAGAACTGTCAAGCTGGAGAAAAGTGTTGCAAGTCGGGCTGTGGCCGCTTCTGTGTCCCACTGGTCCTGCCACCTAGATTGACCATGAACCCCAATTGGACCATCAGGTCTGATTCTGAATTAAGTGAGTACAGTCTATTATCATCAACAACAGTAGACTTAACTGCCATGTACAAAGCACTGGCTTAGGTGCTGGGAGGGGGACTTCAGGTCTAGAATAGTCTAATTGGTGAGAAAGATCTTGTGTTACAGATGAGAAGAGAAAGATCTTGTGGCAGAGATCAGAACCCTCATATAAACAACGTGGGCTTACAGATACTCAGAGTGGGTGTGGCTCCTTGGGAAGGTCTTTCTGGGAGACTTGGAATTTGATCTGGGCCTCAAGGCTAGGCAACTGTGACAAAGTGGGGGTAGCATAGAGAACATGCCAGATAGGTAATCTGGTGATTGTTAGCAAGGGCACAGAGAGTGAGAATGTATGACAAGGGGAGTGGGCCCTTGGGAGATGGTGGGTAAAGAAACAGACATATCTCCTGTTTTTTAAAAAATAACAAGATATATAAAGTTGATATGTAACTGAGAAGAGTCTTCAGTGACAGTTTGAATTGGATTGTCTAGGAAGCAGGGAGCCATTTAAGGCTTTTGAGAGCAATATATGCCAAGCTTCTCTAGGGTGGAGGGGAAAATATGCTATGTAGCTAGAGCCAGGAGAGCACAGTTGTGACTTGATATTCCTTCTACTTGCAGAGACCCCAGCGTCCTAGCTGTACTGATTTGTCTGGAGCTTTTTTGGCAGCTCTGCTGGGTTACACTTGGCAGTCAAAAGAGGATGACGTGCTGGGGTTTGTGATACTCATGACCCTCTTTGCTTCTCCTCCTGCTGCTTGAAGCATGGGAACAGCCCTGGGATTGGGCAGTAGGTGTGTGGTGCTTCTCTACTCCTCTCTCTCTCTTTCTTTTGCAGTTTTAATGGTGTTATTTAAACACAAATAAATTGTGCACATGAGCTGTCTGTCCATTTTCTTGGCTTAATTTTTAACGCAAAGTTTCTCCCTTACACCAAATTAAATATCAGTTGGAACCCCCCCACAAGCATTTCTGTTTCAGTTCCTTTGTTTCATATATATATATATATGAAAAAAAAATTTTTTTTTGAGTTGGAGTCTCACTCTGTCACCCAGACTGGAGTGCAGCTGCTTCTGGCCACTGCAGCCTTGACCTGCTGGGCTCTGGTGATCCTTCTGCCTCAGCCTTCCAAGTAGCTGGAACTACAGACATGTGCTACCATGCCCGGCTAATTTTTGATTTATTGTAGAGATGAGGTCTCGCCAAGTTGCCCAGGCAGGTCTCGAACCCGCAGGCTCAGGCAATCCACTCACCTCGGCCTCCCAAAGCACTGATTACAGGCTGAGCCACCGAGCCCAGCTATTTTTTTATTTTTAAACAAAGCAAATATATATTTTTCAGTGCTCCTTTTGTGCTAGGCACTGTAAAATTCCATTAAAGAACCATTGACCCAGATGTTGTCTTAGTCCCTTTAGATTCCCAGGCAATGCTCAAGGCACTGAGGACAGATTCAGGGATTGGTGACTCTGATGACCAACTGGGCTGCTCTTTCCACGACTCTGCAGTTCTTGGAGAAAACATTGTGAGCAATCTCAGCACAGTAAGATTTGTTGCACATCAGCAGCACTTCCAGCTCCTCGGCTGGTCTGGCTGGTGCCGGATGAACTTCTTGGTCCTCTTTTGGTAGATCTTAGGCTTCATGAGGGGTGTGAGGGCTGTGCCCTCTCTACCCCTCTTGTCCGTGCTGTTTGAAGGCTCAGATGAGATGAGAGAGCGAGGGGGCTGAGTGTGGCTGTGGGATTGTGTGACTTACACATTTAGGGCAGGTGGGTAATCCATTCTTTCTGAGGACACCGAAAATGGGTGTTGGTTGTATATGGCTAGGCGAGAGATGGGTGGAAGCTAAACCAAGAGTGATTTGCTAGTGATGTCTTTCTTAAGCCCCAGGACTGTGGGGTGGGAGGTGGGAGGGGGTAGAGGTGGGGGGAGGTTGTTAGTCCTTCTTTCTGGGTCTACTGACCTTCTTTCTTTTATTGGAGTGTATAGGTTGAGGGTAGGGCAGGGATGGGTGGCTAGTTTATTGTAGTTGTTGGAATGTTCCTACCTTGGATGCTCTTCCTTGAGGACCAGTCCTTGGTGCTAGAATAGGCAGTTTGTTACCTTCAGGTAGCTTACTATAGGGAAAGGCTATCCCTAGGTTCTTGGGACCAAGATGATTTTAAAACATTTTTCTATATTTTCTATATGTACAAAATGGATTGTGTTCTATAGCTTGGAGAGCTTTCATGTCATCACATATGTTCTTTTAACAGAACTCTTTGAAATGGCTAATTTATTTCTCTGGTCATCTCTCATTGGATATTAATATCCTTATATGTATACAAGGCCTATTTTGTAGGTTAATCTGGGTGAATTCTTAGAAGCAGAATTCCAGTTTATTGAATAGAGGCTTTCAAAAAAATAGGGTCTCAGTAAATATTTGTTGAACCAAAGGATGAATGTATTCCTTAGAATACAATTAAGAATTTAGAATCAATTAAGAATTCTTTGAGCTGTAAGTAACAGGAAATCCAACTAACAATGACTTAGCCAAGAAAGACACTTAATCTTCTCATGCTGGAGTGCAGAGAGAAGTGACATGAGGCTAGTTCAGCAGCTCAACCATGACCCTAACCACCAGGCTCATTTCTTCCTTCTCCATCAACCCTGTGTGTTGGCTTGTGTCCTTGTGCTTGTCACCTCATGGGTGCGGGATGGTTGCTGTGGCTCTAGATGTCATAGCAGGAAGAAGCTGTGTATAGAGATGTCATAGCAAGAAGCAACTGTGGCAAAATACCTTTGCCTCAAGTGGTGCTTTTCTTTTAATGATTTTTTTCCCCAGAAGTAGGAAGACTGGGAAAGCAATGAGAAAACCTGGCATGGGTTCATCATGCTTCATCCCTGGGGCTAGAGGAAGGACCTACCCAGACATAAAAATTGAGATTATATTAGCAAGGAAGAAGGAAAGAATGTTTTTTGAGTAGGAAAGCCATGAACTGGAGGTGCCACACTGGCAAAAAGGGCTTATGCATTTAAAATTTAGAGATTACTGGATAGGCAGGGCTTTTATAATAATAAAAAGATAGATACCAGTGCTCACCTTGAATATTGCAAAAATCTTTTAGTGATGACCAATTTCAATGGGAAAAGGTGAGATATAAGTTTAAAACAACCAATAAAGAACCAGCATGGTAGATAACTCCTGTAATCCCAGCCCTTTGGGAGACTGAGGAGGAGGATTATTTAAGGCACAGGAGTTTGAGACCAGCCTGGGCAACATAGTGAGACCCTGTCTCTATAAATAAAAATAAAAAAATTAACCAGCATGGTGGTGTGTGCCTACAGTCATAGCTATTGGGGAGGCTGAGGCAGGAGGACTGCTTGAGTCCAGTAATTTGAAGTTATAGTGAGCTATGATTGTGTCACTGCACTCCAGACTGGGCAACAGATTGAGACCCTGTCTCAAAAAACAGAATAACAGCAATAAAATCCAACAAAAAATGACAACAAAAACCTCATATTTCCTGTCACTGCTGTGTTTTTTGCTCTTTCCCCCCTTTTTTACACTGGCATATGAAACTCTGGTTTCTTCTGCGTTCAGAGCATTCATCTCTTTGAGTAGGCATATGTGAGTGTTGCCTGATTTGAATAAGACTGGCATGAGCCTCGCAGTGGTCACCCAGAGACATCCACAGATTTAGGTTCATGTTGTAGGGAACTGGGAAGAGTGGTGTCTGTGTGATGGGCTGCTAAACATTTTGGCAGATGACAGCCCCCTACCCCCAGACCTTTTTCAGCAGCCATCCCTGCTGCTGTACTTGAAACCAAAGAAAGCCTCAGAACCTCTCCTTCCTCAGTTCTAGGGAGCCGTTGTCACTGGACCCTGACCCTATTCCCTTGCACCCCGAAATGAGCCTCTGGCCAGGTTGAAAAGCCACCCTTCCCCTCCCCGATGCCCAGCTTCCTTATAGTGGGAAGGAATGTCTGGAGCTCTGACACTTGCCATTCCACCAGTGTGGGCTGACCAGGACCTGTCCTCTGACCAGAGCCAGTGGGTTACCCTTCTCCACCCCCCTCTTTGAAATCTCTGAAATCGTATGTGCCCTTGGTCCCAGCAACACCATGGGCCCCTGCAACCTCTCCCTGTTGCTGTTCTGGATCTCATTGCTTTCCCTGGTGGAGCATAATGTTGGTAAGTGGGGCCTGTGGGATGAGGAGGGTGGGAAGCTTAGCACATACCCTGGCAGGACGGGGGGGTATTCTTAAGTTGAAGACTGTCTTTTTCCATTAAAATTAAGCCCTCTTGTCAAGGGAATTGGCGCAGAGAAGCCCAGCTTCATACAGATTCACAAATATAATTAAAGAATGAAGATGCCTCCTTATGAGTGGAATTCTTTGTGGGGTGCTTTATACTCAGAGCCTCCAGAGGGCAGCAGAATTCTAAGCCATAGGCCATTTCCAGGCAGGAGACACAAAATGACCTTATGGAAGCGTAATTAAGGGAAAGTTGACTGTCTATCGCCTAAGTTCTTGGATCCCTATTGAATTGCACTTAATAAATTAGCATTATGTCCTCCTTTTTCATATGATATGGCATGCTTGTTCTTTTCTGGTAACATTTATCTCAGGGACATTATCCATCATGTTTGTACAGTGTTTCCTGTACAAAGCCACAGGGTCAACTTTCTTGTGTAGCTCAGGACCCGGAAGTTTCTCTAATGAGCTAACATGAGAATAGGGCAAGGAAATAACTTTCTGGGCATCACTTATCTTGCCAGCCTCTATGGTAGGTGCTTTTTAAGAGCTGATAGTTTCCTTTTTGCATTGGCTATTGGGACACCAAGAGCTTGGGTTTTGAAGTGAGGCCTGGGTTTGAATCTAAATTCTTCTGCTGCTTATTAGGTCTATGCAAGTGAGGCTAATAACATTACCATACTACCTCCCAGTATTGCTGTGAAGGGTTGGTATATAAAGAAAGCACAGCACAGAGCCTGGCACAAAATGCACACTCAATAAATGTTGGCTATTGTTACTCATTTTTCTGACAAAATTAATCTCTACCTTTCACCCTCTTTTATTATTTGTTTCCTTTTTTTTTCACTCTTGGTTTAGTGATTTTTAGTTTTATAGTATTAAGTATCTGTTTTATAGTATTAACTTCCTTGAATCCTGTTTAGAAGAAGGTGAGGTAAGTAAACGAGAGGTGAGTCCTAGGAGAATTCTTGGTCAGAAAGAAACATCTCAAGTAGCACTCTCCAATAGAAATATAATGCGTCTGGTGGTTCCTCAAAAAGTTAAGAATGAAATCATGACTTTTGCAGCAACTTGGATGAAATAGGAGACCATCTTCCTAAGTGAAGAAACACAGGAATGGAAAACCAAATACCACACTTTCTTATAAGTAGGAACTAAGCTAAGGGTCTGTAAGGGCATAGAGAATGGTATTATGGACATTGGAAACTCAGAAGTGGGAGGGTGGGAAGGGGATAGGGATGAAAAAGTCACCCTCTGGGTACAATGTGCTCTAGTGGGGTTGACAGGTACAGTTAAAGCCCAGACTTCTTCACTACTGAACAACGTATCCACATAACCAAAAAGCATGTGTACTCCAAAAGCTATGAAAAAAAAAAAGTTAAATGTAGAATTACCATATGACCCAGCAATTCCACTCTCAGGTACATAAGCAAAATAATTAAAAACAGGTGTTCAAACAAAAGCATATACACAAATGTTCATAGAAACTCTATTCACAATAGCCGAAAGGTGGAAACAACTCAATTATCTATCAATGGATGAATGGATAAACAAAACGTGGTAGAGCCATACAATGAAATAACTCAGTCATAAAAAGGAATGAAGAATTGATATATGCTACGACGTGAATGAACCTTGAAAACATT